AAATTATGCGCAGTTTGTAAAATTACAGTTTTCAAATAAAATCAACAGAAATGGCAAATTTTTCTTGAAAGAAATATTTCAAAATACTTTTTATGATAATTTTTTTTTTTTCTTGCTTTCTTTATTTTTGTACAAAATAAACTTTTATTCTTTTATTATCGCTATGAATTACTTAGTAGATTTAAGAGTTATCAATATAGGTAGTAGCTTGATTTAAATTTATTAAAAGTTTATTATTTCTAAAAGCGTAATAATCACACTCTTTAAATCACCTAAAAATTATTTATGATTTGGAACACGCCAATAACTTTCACTAAAATCCCATAATCACGTTAAGAGAAGAGGAAGAAATGGCAAAGGGAAAAATACAGGGGAAAAGAGCAAAATTTGGAAAATTCCTATTTACTCAAAAATGATTTATTTTTACTTTTAAGAGTCTCAGGGATGTTGATTTTGTCTCGAGAGGTGAAAATATAAACAATTTTCAAACAGGTATAATTCTTTTAAATATGAACTAAATAATTCAAATCTTTTCCACATTATTTACAAAAGATTATGGTTTTAAAAAGTACAAAATGTTTGAAATATAATCATAATTTTAAAAATTATAAGCACATGAAAATAATTTTTCAATTAATATTAAGTAATTTTTGCGTTGCGCTCGCTATTTTCTAAAAGAGTAGCCCCTTTGATGTATATAAAACTTTATAGAATTATAAAATGTATCATACTCTTTAAACCTTACTTAATTTAAGAATAGTTTAGCTTTTGTATTTCAAAGTATTTGAAAAATATTGAAATTTTAGACAGAATTTTAGATTTAGAAGACAGTTGAAAGTGTTATTTTTTTTTAAATATTTATTATTCTATTTATTAAAAATACTACAGCGTAATAAGGATATACATTTAACTTTATAAATCAACGCATTGCTAGTAATTAAAGCTACTATTTTAGAAAATAGCACGCGCAACTTAAAACTTTGTTTATATTTCTTGTAGAAATATTTCTTATTTTCATATGCTTATAAATTTTTTAAATTATGATTGTATTTGAAAAATTTTGTACCTTTTTGAAACCATAATCCTTTGTAAATAATGTGGAAAAGATTCGAATTATTTAATTCAAATTTAAAAGAATTATACCTGCTTGAAAATTGTTTATATTTTAGCTCCTCAAGACAAAATTAACACCCCAGAGACTTAACTCTGAAACTAAGAATCTGATTTTTCATCGCCATTTTTTTTTAATATATACATCTCTCTGCTGTCAGGTGAATGTGGAAAAGATTCGAATTATTTAATTCAAATTTAAAAGAATTATACCTGCTTGAAAATTGTTTATATTTTAGCTCCTCAAGACAAAATTAACACCCCAGAGACTTAACTCTGAAACTAAGAATCTGATTTTTCATCGCCATTTTTTTTAATATATACATCTCTCTGCTGTCAGGTGTTGATTATATACCTGATTATTACCTCCGTTTTTATGTATTTCGAGATGTTCTAATTAGAGTGAGAATGAAGATGGCTTTGAGTTGTTTTTCTTGGGTTTTTGAGAATTATATTACTGCAAAATAATTAGAGAATTTGCATCTATTAGAGTTGTACGCCATTTATACTTTATGAGTAACATTTTTGAAAAGTTAAAACAAGAGATTGAAGTGACTCATCGCGAGTTCTGATGTGATATTCCAAACAGAACACTTACGATATCATTTTTAGTTTATGATGTTGAAATTGATTAGAAATATTTAACTGTCAAAAGAGAGTACTTGTAGTGAGAGAGAATATTGATTGTGTGTTATCATTGATATTCATCGTCTGCTTGGAAGAAAACATCGCACATAACTAAGTATTTAAATCGTTTGAAGTTATTTTGTGATACTTGAATACACACACGATCAGATGTGACTGATGATAAAAATCATTAGGAATAATCAGAGCCCTTTTGATTTGTCTGCTTCTTCAAATTAATGTTGTTTTTTTTTTTCCTTTTCTTATTTTAAAAAACCTCTCTCATTACATACAGTGGGCCACAAAAGTATTCGTACACTTGCAATTTCTTATAAAATTTAATGTTTTCGACTAATAAAAATTAATATATTGCAATTATAATTTTTTCATGATATCTGCAACTTGTTCGTAATGGAATGACATAATTAATTTTTTAAAAATAGTATAACTATTTTTTAAAAATATTAATTATCAAAAACCTACTAAAAAATTACGCCACAAAAGTCTTCGTACACTTAACAAAAATTTCAACTTAGCTTTAAATATTGTATTTCTTTCTTAATTTAGTACTTAGTAAGATATCTTTTAGTGTCCACAACAACTTTTAAACGTCTTGGTATAGATTTAATAAGTTTTTTTTGTAATTTCCGCATCGATTTTCCGCCATTCTTCTGTGATTATTGTTTTTATTTCACATTTTGTATTTATTTGTCCTGTTTTCTTTTTTTACGTCAAAATCTCGCCAAATATGTTCTATTGGGCTAAATAAAGTGATCGAGGAGGTATTTTCATAATTCGGGGACAGTTATAGAGACACCAGTGGCGTACAATTAATTGAGAGCAGTGCGCTTGGCGTCATTACCCTGTTAAAAAATTAAGTCATCTCCAGTATCCAAATTTTGGGAGGATAATTTAAAATTTCTCTTTAAAATATTTAAATAGAGCTCATGATTCACAATATCAACTAAGAATACCAAATCATCTAATTCTGAAGCCGATTTACATCCCCTTTTTTATCCAATTAGATTCTTGGGATTAAGTTTCAGAAAATTCAAAATTGACAGCAAGTTGATTGGGATGGCAGATAATTCAACATTTTTGGTTCCGATGGGCCAATAATAGCTTGTATATTAAAAAATAAGGAGTTTAATCCCATGAATTTATAAATGCGGAACAAGAACTCCCCCACCTCCATGCTTCAGCATTGAAGTGAAGGTGTTCTTGCGTGGGGGTGTAAATCGGCATCAGAATAAGATATTTTGGTATTTTTTGATGGTATTGTGAATCATGAGCCCTATTTAAATATTTTAAAGAGGAATTTTAAATTATCCTCCCAAAACTTGGATATTGGAGACGACTTAATTGTTTAACAGGGTAATGACGCCAAGCGCACTGCTCTCAATGTACGCCACTGGTGTCTCTATAACTGTCCCCAAATTATGAAAACACCTCCTCAATCATTTTATTTAGCCCAATAGAACGTATTTTGTGAGATTTTAATGTAAAAAAAAGGAAACATGACAAATAAACACGTAATGTGAAGTAAAAACAATAATCACAGAAGAATGGAGGAAAATCGATGCGGAAATTACAAAAAAAACTGATTAAATCTATACCAAGACGCATAAAAGTTGTTATAGACACTAAAACATATCCTACTAAGTATTAAATTAAGAAAGAGATACAATTAATTAATTGGCAACGGAAATCGTAAAATGTTTATTAAATATTTATTTTGACATTATTCCAAAAATCTAAAAAATTAAATTTTTGTAAGATACATTCAGTGTAAGATTATATTTCTTTAATGTTCATAATATTGAGGTTTTTAAATAAATTATAAATTAATAATTTTGCCTCCTAATTGTTGAAATTTAAATCAAGATTAATAGCAAAAGAAAGAAAAAGTATATATGTAAGGAAATTTATGTTATAAAAAATATACATATTCACCATAATTGATAGAAATTAAAAATATATATATGCTTACTTCTAATAAATGATTATATAACAAAAAAATCATGCTTAATAGTTATATTGGTCACAAAAACTCCGAACACGAAGAAAAATATTCCTTAAATAATTTTCTTAACTAAACATGATCAATAGTTTCAACTTGTTGGCATAGCATTTATATTTGACGAATCAAAACAAAGCATACATCAATAGTAATAATTTTTCGGAAATCAGTACCATCTTTTTCAGTACAGTGTGTGTGTGTGTATCATCAGTTATAAACAATAAAAATAAAACAAGAATCATTTTCTTAAAATAATCCAGTATCCGGCACTGTTGTGGAAATAAAACAAATAAAACGGAAAAAAAAAAAAAAGATCGTAATAATACTCACCCATATTAGAAGGAACCTATTTCAACAACTCTTTCTTAGTGTTGAAGCACTTATGCAGTTGTCAAACAACTAAATTATAATACATGTGCTCTGCCTGATATAAATACTATGAGAGGAAAATATTGCACAACGTTGCGTGAAAGTTCATCTTTTCAGCTTAGGGTTACTGTTACGACGTAACGTTGTGCAATTCTTTTCTACTATGGTTATCTGAAAATTATCTTTATCGCTCTTTTGGCGTAATCGGCGAAATTTGTAATTAAGTTTAGCATGTTAGTTTTACTGTGAAAGTCACCACTGGCGTAGTTTTGAGAGGACACTGTATGAAATTTCCTTGGGGGCCCCTTCTAGAGAATTTTTAACATTTTCTGATTTTTTGCTTAATGTTTTGGGTCACCCAAGGCTTGGGGGCTTTGTATCATTGATACGGCGGTAGCTGCGCCCTTGAGTTTTAACATAAATTAAGGAAATGTTTAATAAGTGGGATAAGTGTCTTTACAAATTTATTTAGATAATAAATGTCTTTATAGTAAAATGAAAATTAATATAACATGCTAAAATTACTTTTTGAGGTAGATTGGATGTTTATGTCGCTTTGTGTGTTGTAATTTTAATTGAAAAATTAATTATTGTAATTTTGTAATAAATGTTTTTAAACTAAAAAAACATCATTATATATATATTCTTATTTGCATTTAATTTTCATTCATAAAATTTCTATGGCATTAATAAATAATTAATCAATTTTCTTTTCTTTTCTTCTATTCAAATTCAAATATATTTTTTAAAACTTGTTGTGGATGACACTTGATGTTAATACAGTTTCTTCAAATATTAATTAAATTAAAAAATGAATAAACAGTAGCAAACCAAAATAATAGTCCAACGAAATATATAAAAAGGAATTGTTCGTTGTGTCCCTTTAGCACAATGGATTGCGCGTTGGACTTCTTATTCAAAGTTCGTGGGTTCAAATCCCACCTGGGATGGCCTAATTTCTGAGAATGTGATTTCTTTTTTTTACTGTGCTATTTATTAGAATAATTAAATTTAATTAATAAATAAACCGTAACAAACAAAAAATAATCCAACACCACGTATAGAAAGAAAAATGGAAAATTGCAAATAAAATCGCTTTCTATTTTATCACTTAATAGGGGGATTCTGTCATATGTATGTACATATTTATAATTACTGTAATTATTTAACAAAAAGTAGCTAGAATAAAATTTTTCTTCGTTGATCTAAGTAGAAATTGACTTTAAAATTTTTTTTATTTTTCTTGCTAAACTGTCAGACTATGTATTTTGGTATAAAAAAATAATCAAATCAGAAAAGGGGGCCATACAGTTTTTTAATCCTTTCTAAGACCGTAGTAAGTATACTTACCACCAATTACATTAATTTTTAAATGTCTATAGTAATCTATTTTATTATATAGGGTTATCAGAAAAGATGGATCATATCATGGAAAAAAATCATTTAATGGAAACAACTGCCCATATTACAATAAGTGACATATGAATGTCAAAAGGAGTATACCAAGTTCATATCAGCTACAAATGTTGGATGTGTGATCCTTTTGTTACAAGGCATACATCCAATACGTAATCCATTTCGTTTCATATATTTTGTAGCATCACTTTAACAAAATGATTTGTAACGCTGCACAAATGCTTTCTTATTGTCCTTTGCTATTTGTTGTATCAATTGCCAATGATGCGGCTTGAAATTTGATTATTTTTGTAAAATTTTCCATACATTTTTCTGGGCATTCCAAGTTCACAGGGGGCAACTCTCGTATGCAAAAACTCTTTGTTACTGTCGCCCTGTTTGAATTTTTAATCATAGCAACCTTGAATGTACTGCAACCTGTTGATCATTGACAGGCAAAAAACTTGGCATATTTCTCTTTACATTCATATATCACTTATTGTAACACATGCAGTAGTTTCAATAATATGATTTTTTAAAATCAAGTCTGTCTTTTATGATAACCCTGTATTTCATTTGTGCTGTCATCCATTACTAACTTTAGAAAATTATGAGCTTTCTTACATACTTTGTCACCAACCCCCTCGTGACCGCGGTAGCCGAGGGATCAAGGTATCGGGTCGTGGCTGGCCTTGTCACTTGTTCGAGCCCAGTACCACTAAAGACCCGCCGTGTAGGGCAGCGATGCACGTTAAATCTGTCGAGAGCTCAAACGCAACCCCATTGGTGTGGTGTGGTAGTTAGGACCGGGGGTGCCAGCTCAGGTGTCGTCCACGTCCTAGACCATGGTTCAAAATTACGTGGTCCGTCGCCAAAAGCCCTCGTGTAGCTGAACAGTGCGACGTTAATATTCCCACCCTCAATCACCCCAGCCCCCTCCCCCATTTAGTAACAGGATTAAAAACTTCCTCATTGGTCTGGCAATTTCATGAAAAATAATACTGTAAGTTGTCATCTATGAATAAAAAAAAAAGTTTTGTATATAACATACAATTTTTTCCAGTTTGTAGTGTTTACAAAATATATTTTATAAATATTAAAAAAAAGAAATAAAAAGAGCATTATAATTTCCGTCTTTTTAATAGGCCCCGATGGGCAGGCGTAAATATACTTGCTACCCAAAAGGTGGTGTTAAAAATCAAATTCAATTTTTTTTAAAATCTAATAAGCTAAATGAGAGAGTGTTTTTCTTCTTAAATCAATCTCAATCCCACAATATTTTTAATATACCTTTAATAACGTTTAATTTTCAATATTTTAATATACCTCTACTAGAAATAAATGACCTGATAAAGAGTTAATATAAAAAACATCGGAAAATGTGCTAACATTAACAGATTTCTTTGAGGCGATATTTCACACTTTCACTAAATAGTTTAAAATAATTTCTTAGCGTTTTCCACCTAGCTGAGAAAATATACTAATTAGATTTCTTTACATTCTGATCTAAATTTTATTAGATGTTTATATATCGTTAAATATGTGAAAGAATTGAAAACTTTCAATCTTAAATTATTCCTCTTGATTTAAAAGTTATTCGATTCCTACTATTAGCTCACACTCTCTGTTTATTTATTTATCTTCGTGGAGTTTTCAATCGTTAATAAAATACATTTTAAAGCGCTCAATTGAACAGAAATTTTATATACATGCTTGTTTTGGATGACAATACAGTAATTTAATTATATATAATGAAAATTAATTGATTGAAACTAATTATTTAAAGAATTACAAATACAGCCTCGTTGGCATCATTTTTGACAACTTAGTGACCCTCTTTATGATTTGTGTCAAACCTTGAAAAGGTTTTTTTCTCACGTTTTAAAGCATTCAGTTGAACTGAAATTTTATATACACGATTGTTTTGGATGACAATACGATACTTTAATGATAATCAGTAAAAATTAATTACCACTTAATGTTGTGATTCTGTCATATGTATATACATATTTATATTAATTGTAACTATTTAATAAAAAGTAGCTAAAATAAAATTTTTCTTTGTTGATTTTTGTAGGAATTGACTTAATTTTTTTAAATATTATTTGTTTTAAATTCTGTCTCTTCGATTTTTTTGATTTATTTTAATTGATGTCACACTCTGACGCAACATGAAGGCTATTGGCGACAGAACTCTTTATTTTGAACAACGAGGACGGTACCTGACCTGGAATCCCACTCTCTGAATATCGGGGATGAAACTTCTCACTTCGGAGAGGTGCGAAAGTTTAGAAAGTCGGGTTGCAACTCAGATGTCATCCCCGTCACTTGACCGAGATTTAGATTATGAGATCCGTCCCAATATATCTCTAGTTAATTAAAATTCGTAGGTAAACAAACGTATCTATGTATTGTACCCTAACTTCTCACGAACCGCAAGACGTAGAAACGCGCTGAAGGTACCAAAATTTTGGAAATGATCAGAGGAATCCGCCGTTTTGGCCATTTATATTCCGATATTCCAATTAGTTAAAAAGGTATTAATTAAAAACCTTAAAACGTATAATTAGTGCTATTTTTCACCGCCAGGGACCAACTTCAATTCCTTTTTTTTCAGGCGTTTTTAAAACGCGATCTAATTTTTTTCATGAGACTCAGACAAAAAATAATTACAGATTCGGAAAGATCATTTAATTCGCCACGATACGGTATATTTTATTTTACAGAATAATAATTTTTTCTATTTTTTACGATTTTTTTAAAATGAGTCAAAATCGATACGTCTTTATGAGTAGGATTTCTAAGTCATTTTGAAAAAGAGTATTAGAAGTGCTGATTTTGAGAAGGAAAAGGAAAATCTATATATAAAAGTAGAAAAAGCCCGTGCAATGCCGGGCCATGCAGCTAGTTTCTAATTCATTTCAAGATTCAAGAAGTGATGTTAATAATTTTTCTCGTCGATCAACAAGTGAGAATACGAGCACTATAAAGCTACACTAAGGCTACTGGCTCGTCATTTTAAATCATGGTTAAGTGACGAGGACAAAACCTGAGCTGGATCCTCCCTCTCCTAACGTTCACGCCACATCAACGGGGAACTTTTGACAAAGTAACAAGTGTCGGAGATAGTTGTAAACACACATACACAGAACATTCTAATTCGACTGCTTAACAAACCTGTTGTTGTGTTGCTCTTTATGCCACCTGATATCGACTGAGTCAGATCGAGGCGCACGAAATTCATCATGGCAAGGGACTAGATGTACATCTGTCGTTGGCCTTAGCCTTGAGTACCACACAGGTGACATTTCAATTTAACTAGGTTCTACCCCAATTTTGAGGAGAACACCCTGGGGAGAGGCAGAGACATTTCACCCCCTTCCAACGACCTCACGAGAAGACTTGTGAGTCGACGGCTATTTAGAGTATACCCCCATGCCACAAAGGTACTGTTGTTCTTTGTGAAATTGCTTCCACTCAGTTATCTCTGGACATCACATTTATTTATATACAAATACGAAAGAACGATCACGGATACTGCACACAGCTAGCAAGTCTGACCGAAAAGCACACAGGTACAGGTCAGCTAGTGAACCACGTAGAAGGAATGCGCGGGAGTGAAGCGGGAAAACCACGCGTGGGCGGGTCCCACAGTTATCCTTCCGCCAGAAAAAATAGTTCACCCCGACAGGTACTATACATTTACAAGCATTTATGTCTTATGCGAGATTTGAACCCACAGGCCCTACGACACGGATCAGAGTTGCTAGCCCCTTTACCAGATGGCCGACATTTAACAAATCTCTAAGGTATCTGGAAATTATAAAATTGCTTGGCTCTTAGCTGAGTGAGTGAGTGAATATCAACGTCGCACTCTTCATCTACACGAGGGCTTTTGGGGACGGACTTCGTCATTTTGAACCATGGTCAACTGACGAGGATGACACTTGATCTTGCACTCCCTCCCCTAACTACCACACTACACCCTTGAGAAGACGTTTTAGCTCTGGACAGATTTAACGTGCATCCCTCCCTTAAACGGCGAGCCTTCAGTGGTACTGGGCTTGAACTCGTGACAAGCCAGCCACGATCCGATACTTTGACCAATAGGCTACCACGGCCACTGAAAAGGTCTTAAAACTAAACCCTACTGAACAGTAGTCTTGAAATCACTTTAATTATATTATATCGTGATGTCGAAACGACGGACGCTTAAGGGTAATTGAAATTCCGCACGTTCTAGTGTTTTATTGCACAAGGTGAATCGAACCTCAACTGTAATACCCTTAAGAGAACTGAAGCAAATAAAACTTTTAAACCAGCCTCTCTTTTGCAGCCGCTCTTAGGGCGCTCAAAATGAAAATAAAAAATCCGAGACTTCGCCCTCCCGAAGAAACCCCCCAAACTAACGAAAATAATAGTGATGAAAATTCTTTCGGATTCAAAGACGCGATTATCGAATTAAGAAAATATTTCCTCGATTACCCTTTCCTCTTGGAAATGGGCAGAGAGTTCAGAAATGCAAAAGGTGACGAGAGGATTGATATCTTTTATC